ATTCCAGCTATATGGTGACAGTCTGTAAATAACTGAGCCTGGACCAGACAATAAAGTGATCAACAGCATGAGCATCGCTCCGTGCAACTGGGATACGATGACATGTGTCAAACAAGTCAGTGAGCCTGACCACCCGATCCCGTTAGTCGGCTCTTACAATCATGGGTTGCTAAAGACCAATTCAATCCCGGATCTTCACGGGTTAATAAATGGAAGAAAGACATATTTTGTGAAGGTGGTACACATTGAAGACATCTTCTAAGCATTCCACAAGCACATATAACACATGCAAGATCACAATCAGGTTGAATCTTGAACATAAACATTCAATCAGCAGATCCTGGCATAGCTAAGGGTTGCAATCCTAAACTTTAAATCAGAGTACCCTTACAATAGAGATCATAGGCAAGATGAATAGAATCAAAACCATCACTTGAACAGTGCTCTTCAGATAACAAATTCATTAAATTAGGCTCTTAGAATATTTAGAATTATTTTAAAAATTCAGTGTTTGAGAATTTTTCTTTTCTACCAGGAACTTTTACATGATGTGCCGAACACAATGAGCAGCCTATTAGCAATCTAAACATGTCTTTGAGAGACCTTTCATTACATATTAGTCTTAACATAAGGATGGTCATTAGCTGTTTAATAAACAGAAAGAAACGACAAGGATCATGTTTCATATGTATGACTAAAGTCACAGAGAAGGAAGCTGAACATGTGAGGTGTGATCATTTCTACACCAGCTGTAGTTCTAATCTCTGTTTCCAGCCTGAAGTACTTGTTTAGTTTAGAGAAACAATATATATGCTGATTGAGAAATCATAGGCCAGTCTTAAAAATCAGATTGTCATTTACACAGAGAAAATACAGACATGAGTAAGAGAATACCGGAATAAATGTAATGCTTGTTGATCTGATTACATAATTACAAGTGAATGTGAATAACTATTGTGACAAAATAGAATTTTAATTTACACACACAAAATACAAAGTTATGTCTTTATTCAAGGCCATCTCTAAATTATGTTCAAAACACAGTATTTTGCAATCCAGTTGTAATAATCATAATGATAAATGTCATTTAATAATTTAGTAGTTACTGTATGGCTGAAATAAAGCTGACTTGACATTAAATTTAAACTCACTGGTAATTTAATCGCAAAGATTATTGATCTATGTGATCTGTAACGAAATCCAGTCCAAATCATATGAAACTCAACATATACTTCATAAAGTCACAAGAATGATGATTGTAACTATATTCACTAAATGTCCTGCCTCGATCCTACTGATGCTGATTGCAATACTCTACCTCCTATCTACCTGAGGTATGTGAGGTAACCTTTAGACGACCATCTGTCACCTCAACCAGCCAGCAATGTCCAACAAATAATTCAAATTCCAGCAGAAAAACACTGTATACACAGATCAATACCACCACCAATCTCAGATAGTTGCATTTACCTTTCTTTCCCCGCATCGTCAATTACACGTCAATTTCAAGTGTGACCATATCAACACGTCAATCTCCCCAGCGCTGGGCTATGCGAATACAAGGGTGAGCTGGTATTATCAGGACAGGACACCCGCTAATCCAACACAGGTAGCAATAAACAAGCGAGTCTCGTGCATCTTTATCACCTGACAAAAACCACAGTGGGGTCAAGGCAGATTAAAGGGATGTTTTTTCACCCTTGAAAGGGGACTGATAGTTGGTGAATAAAAGACTTGTAAGCATACTGAGATGTTGATAGTCTGTGCATGTCGGGTCCAATAATGAAAGGTTAAGTGCAAGGCTGACCTCCCACTTGCCAATGAATAATGCATGCAATCGAGGAGAAAATTCCCCATCCAAATAATTCCGCAGCGCTAAATTAATCAGTCAACATGAGTGGTTATTTTTGGCTTGACACCCTGCGGCTGTCCTGGACGGCCCCCCACCCCTTCCCCCCCCCCGACTTAGAGAAACCTGTCTAAAGGAAGGCCATAGGACAGTGCATGCTTGACCAAAACAATCTGGTATTTTTGCCAACAGTAGTTTCTAATTTCAAAAGAACAAGGTCCAGTTTCAAAGAATCCTGTTCATGACATTTTTTTCTCTCACAAGCAGCCACAACAACAGCGGTCAGATAGCTGAATCATTTCCTATGGGGGAACCCGTGAACATCCGGGTTAGAATTGTCCTTCAGTAACCCATGCTTGTCGTAAGAGGCGACTAACAGGATCGGGTGGTCAGGCTCACTGGCTTGGTTGACAAATGTCATCGTAATCCAATTGTGTAGATCGATACTCATGGTGGATTAGTTAATTATATAGCTGTAATATTGCTGAGTGCAGCGTTAAACAACAAACCAACCAACCAACCAATCTTATGGTGGAAGTATATATTGTGTTTGCACTGATATCTAATGCATGTATTTGTAAGAGAGATGCACATTTCTACACATATCTTAGCCCCAATTAAAGATCCTGCAAAGTCCTAAATTTTCAACATCTGAGAACCTCAAGCGAGTCTACAATACTGATTTGATCAGTGTTGGTTTTTTTCCCCGGTATCTTCCACATGTCATGTAAAAGACAATTCAACCAAACAAAGTCTGAAATTCATACTTCATAATAAAGATTTTTTATGTGTCATATTACTGTTGAATTGTACCTTATTGATACCCATATTACAACAAGAGAAGAAGATTTAAATCAACATGATCATGACAATGTCACATTAATCGTGCACCATGACAGTGAAGGGTTGAAACGGTATGCTCTTACCATGGTGCGGTACATATGGCGGTAGAAGGCCTTTGGTTCGGTCCGTTTCGGTTTGGTATATATGAGATATGATAATAATGCTGAATATAGATAGATTTTGAAAAATGATTCTATTTCTAAACATTTTAGAAAAAGTTTAAAATGGTTCAAAAAGGTTATTAAAATGACGGTGTGAAAACCGAAAATACTAAATTTTTGGATTGCACGACGGTATACCGAAACGTAGGCAAAAGAATGCGGTTCTGCTATTAAATGACCGCAATACCGTTTCACCCATATGACAGTGGAACATATGTATTCAATGCAACCAAAACCAGGCTTGATCATGAATAAACAAGTACGAGAGCACTTATGTGATGATGATGAAGATGATGATGATGATGATGATGATGATGATGATTGTGATGATGGTGATGATGATGATGATGATGATGATGATGATTGTGATGATGATGATGATGATGATGATGATGATGATGATTGTGATGACAACAGGTATCAAGAGCAAAACCAAAGCTGACTAATGAAATCAGCATCAGGAAAGATATTTTATGAGGAGACAACTGCTTTAAGCAAAAAACAATTTCATACAATGCTTATCTAAACTCCACAAAAAAAAACAACTTCATCAAAGCCTCAGACATATCAATATGTATCAGGGCTCCAGATAATATTTCAACATCAGGAGTACGTAGTACTCCTTATTTTTTCAATATAGGAGTACTGGATAAACTTAAGAGTACATTTTGAGTACTGAATGGAATTTAATGGCGTATCAGTAATCTTGTGTTTCGTTTCATATAGGCACCACAACATTACTAGTTGTGTAAACAGGTTAACTAACAATAAAACAAGCATTGTCACTAAGGTGACATAATCCCCAGCCGCAAATTATCAAATCAAACTTATAAAGTAATGAAAGTTTAAGATGAAGTTAAATGTTAACAAAAACATTATCTTGCTCTTTAGTTGTTCAAACACACACATATTTTCAAGACTGACTTTGACCTTGACATGAATGTCATAGTGTATGAAATATGAAAAACTAGTACTAAAGAAATTGCTTATTGAAAAACATTCAAGGGAGGTCTTGAAAGTCTATGAAGAAAATCCAGTGAACCGTTCTTAAAATATCTTGCTGACAATTCAAGTTAACATTCTGAAATCTTCATAGTGTCGTCGTGACCATACAAATTATGCGAAGGTCACCAAAATTGACTGGGCCCTGGGCCTTCACTAGATGAAGCTTGGTGTCAAATATGAAGAAACTCCAGTGAATGGTTCTTGAGGTATCTCGCTGACAAGCATAACATGTAGTTTAATATGCTGAAATCTTCAAAGTGTCTCTGTGACCTTGAAAATTAAGTGAAGGTCACCCAAATTGACTGGGCCCTGCGCCTTCCCTGGTTGAAGCTTGGTGTCAAATATGAAGAAACTCCAGTGAATGGTTCTTGAGGTATCTCGCTGACAAGCATAACATGTAGTTTAATATGCTGAAATCTTCAAAGTGTCTCTGTGACCTTGAAAATTAAGTGAAGGTCACCAAAATTGACTGGGCCCTGCGCCTTCCCTGGATAAAGCTTGGGGTTGAATATGAAGAAAATCCAGTAAACGGTTCTTGAGATTGCTGTACATGCAGGTTTACATGCTGAAATCTTCAAAATGTCGCCATGACCTTGAAAATTATGTGAAGGTCACCAAAATCGACTGGGCCCTGCGCCTTCCCGAGATAAAGCTTGGTATTGAATATAAAGAAAATCCAGTGAACGGTTCTTGAGATAGCTTAACATGCATGTAAAACGTGAAAGTCCCCCTGTGACCTTAAAGGAAGGTCAAGGTCACCAAACATGACTTGGACCTTTCTTATAGTGTGATGAACCTAGGTACCAAATATGAAAAGAATCTAGTGAAAGGTTCTTAAGATATTCCAATTCGTACGTACGTACGGATGGACGGACGAACGGAGCCTAAGACGGCGAGGGATAACAACACTCTTTCAGATAAATACGTCTGTAAATGATTCCAAGACTGTACAGCATTGCTGTGGTGCGTATGTGCCATGTTTCCTAAATTATTTCCTACCATATCGTGCATATTTTTTTATCCGTACATACGCTGATACGGCCCTTATCTGGAGCCCTGTGTATTTTTAAAGCTAATTACATAACTACATAGATCCGGTCTATGCCAGTTGGTAACATCAGGTACAGCAGACGTGATCACAATGTTTCCACACTACGCATGATCTTCCTCGGCCACAGACTGCAGGTGGATCACTTCCCAGGTAAACTCGTCTGGACGTAACAATCAAACAGTCCAGGTGTGTGAGGGGTCAGATGAAGTTATAACTGTTGTTGGTGACAGATAGGACAATTCTGTCACTCATCCACCATGACTCATTGCCAGTTGGAGATAACTGTGTTTTATCTGCATCATTCGGATACATTTTTAATGGCAGTTGACCCATATTCAGCTGAAAATACCTTTTTTGCATGTGAATCATACACAATAGAAATTTGTTATCCAAATATGTCTTTTGCTTCTGTGAATTATGTTAAAGTTCCATGTTACAGGTTTAAATTCAGGCAGAAAATCACCAACAGTGATTTCAGTCTTCATGAGCCTGCATACAAAATGCATCACTCACTCACGTAAATACAAAATGCCTTTCTCTCTCTCTCTCTCTCTCACACACACACACACTCACACTCACTTGCTGAATCACCAACTCACTTAACTACTTACTCATGTAAATACAAACTGTCTCACTCACTCATTCATTTACTACCTAGTTGAATCATCCACTCATTCACTTACTCGCACACTCACTCACTCATCCACTTAATCATCCAAATACAAAATACTTCACTTGCATTACAATCCTCTACTGGTACTAAATTATTCACTGATCATTTAAATAATCGTATCTGAAGTGGGATGTAGATCAAGACAGAGCTATTTAAAGTCCATTGTTAAATACGTTAATATTGCCTGTGATAACATTCAATTATTTGTCCGTCTGCTTCAGGCTGCTGAACACAGAGCTGCTCCCAAGCTGACTTAAGGTAAGGCAACACATTTCTAGCTGTCAGTTTATTGACAGATCACAAGTATAACCAAACTATAATCCCAAACTTCGATGATGACAAACAAAAAACAAAACCTATTGAGCTACATTGTACATGGTTTGTATTTATATTTCAACCAACCCAAGCAAATAGCTGAACATTAATCTCAACCTTGCACAAGTCCCAAAAGCAACAAATCTTGGTTTAAATCCTAATTTATTTGATTAAAAATACATCAGGAATAAATTGTCCCTGTAAATCAGTAGCATCTGCAAGCCCAGAATTACTAAGCATTCATTACAGCCCGGGAGAAAGGCTACACTAATCTGTAAACCACAAAATAAACAAAATATCTTCAGACACCTGCAGTTGTTAAAAAATGCAACGAAACACAATAAATATCTTGCTCTGACAAATGCATCCTCCTCAGCTCAGTGATGCACATACTAACTGCTTCAGTCTTATCACCTGTAGTCATGTTTGTTAGTTTTTCAAGAGCTCTGTAAACTAGCAATTATAATGGTTAGTTTGAAATCAACAGCCACTCTGGAATTGCCCTGAGCTGTAAATAAACATGGAAGTTGCCAGGAAGTCTGGAACAGGCTGAAGATGTTGGTCCAGAGCGAGGCTCTCCTGTGCATTAGCTGGCCACCACAACACTGACAGTCAATGGTTAACCCTTACTGTAACAAAACTGAAAGATGCTTTCTTAATAGTTTTATAGTCTGTTTCACTGTCCATGAAACACACCATTACCCTTGACCTAGCCTTGCTCCAAGGCTGTTCAGAATGCTAAGCCAATAGTACAGTGATTGTTTGCTTTGAAGAGCAAAGTCATGAAAAAAGAACAGCTAAGAAGTCTGTTAGAATCAAAATGTGTTCTTTTTCTTTTTAAATTATCATTTAAACTATTAATTATTACCTTAGAGACTTGTGCAAGTCTACTCTTGACCCAACACTGCCTGCAATGCAAAAGCCCAAAATAAAGCAGGTCTAGATTTTTATCAGGTTTCCAAATCTCCTGTCTCAATGGGTCTCTTTTTCAATTTATTGGCTTGTTTCTATCAAAGTTATATTTTTTAGAGACTAAATGTCAATCAAACATATTAATGGCAATTTAAACTGGACAATAACACTGACTGACTGAGTATGATTTTACACAGCTTTTAGCAATATTCCAGCAATATCACGGTGGAGGACACCAGAAATGGGCTTCACACATAGTACCCATGTAGGGAGTCGAACCCAAGCCTTTGGTGTGACGAACGCTTTAACCACTAGGCTACCCCACCGTCCCTGGACAATAACATGACAAAGTAATGATTATACGAATCTGTAGATTATTATGACAGTGAATGTGATGTTGTGGTAATGATGTGAAGATCGGCAACTTAAAGGCTATATGTATTTGTAAAAAGACAACACTATAGAAAATAAGTGAGTTAATATTCTTGTACTCTGTCTAATTGTCCTGAAACACATTATCTTCCCTACTGCCTAGTCCTCCCAGCAATGCTAAGCCCTAAATGAAGCAAGTCTACATTTCCCAAGAATCTCCCAACTCACTGGGGCTCCTTTTCAATTTAAATGGGTATCTTTGTTACAATAACAATTCTATATATTCAGGGACCAAGCGTTAGTCTAGTATTTTTGTTATGCCTCGCGTCAGCTTGAGGGGCGGAGAACCCGAGGTGATGCAGGTCTCCGGCATTTACCATTTCCGTGAAACCCACAAGCAGGGGTACGTGCTGACACATACAGGAACCTAATCAGGGCCAAGTGGTAATCAAACCCACATCAAAGGTGGCAAGTGTGCCCAAGGGATGTAACTCTGCACAGGGAATCACAGTGCCTCTGACAACTACAGCATACATGCCCTACTGCAGAGTTGGAAAACAAGCCTGTGTGGCCAGCAACAAGGTCAAAACTGGCCGAGCCTGGTTCACTGATACTCTGTCTCACAGTCCCTGAATCACATTATTTTCCCTACTGCCTAGCCCTCATTGCAATGCTAAAGCCCTAAATAAAGCAAGTTTAGATTTCTCCAAGTTCTGAATCTCTGGTTTCCCTGGGGCTCCTTTGACCCGTGAAGGTCCGGGTTAGAATGAACCTTCAGTAACCCATGCTTGTAGTAAGAGGTGACTAACGGGATCAGGTGGTCAGGCTTGCTGGCTTGGTTGACACATGTCATCGGTTCCCAATTGCGCAGATCGATGCTCATGCTGTTGATCACTGGATTGTCTGGTCCAGACTCGATTATTTACAGACAGTTGCCATATAGCTGGAATATTGCTGAGTGCGGCATAAAACTAAACTCACTCACGCACCATGGCGCCTTTTCAATTTAAATGGGTTTATTTGATACAATTAAAATTATATGTATTCAGAGACTAAGCGTTAGTCTAGGTTCACGTAATGAGCATGGTTGTATGCTGTTTTTAGTTTTAGCAAATTAACTAGTCAAACTAGTACTCCTTACTCCACAAACAGCATAGACTAAAGCAAAGTTTATAAAATTTAAATTAATTTTAATCTCAAATACCCTAGTTATAGTAACCACTGCATTATAATGTCAACATATTTACAAACATTATTCAACTGAATTCACAAAAAAGCTTATTAAGAAAACCACAAACTGGGTAAAACTGAATGCTATTAGATCCTAAGCAACAAAAACAGACACAATATTGCTCATTTGAAATTTAAAGGGTTAATTCACCAGCTGTTAAGAAAATCATTCCGCATTTGAAAAATGCTCCGATGTGTGATGTGTGTCAATTAGACGAGTGAGAAGGAAACTCTGACTAAGATCCACAGGAACACCAAAGCTGATATTTGTTGCACAGTAAATGCATATTGGAGGTTCAAGTTTTGTCATTATTACACCATCAGGACAAAGGATACCTATCATTGTATCCAAAGGTTGTTTCGCTCTGCAAAGTACATGGAGCAAGCAGACACAACGCAAAGATAATTATATGGCAATTTCGACAACGAAAAAAACATGCTTACAAATGCACTTGGCATGCATGGAAGATATCTGTGTAGATTAGTATCGGTCTCCGGCTTCATTCTCTGATCGCTCTGATTACCTGTGAGTTAACTCTATTGCTGACATAATTGCTGTTGTTACAGTAAGTTAGCTAATGTACTCCACTATGGCAGACATACCTCAATTCCGACCTGTCAGGTTTGCGTAACTGCCATTTTATTATTTGTATTCTGCTTTTTTTGTTTCGTTGTCACCTAATACCTATTGCATGTTTTCACGACCCTTCCTGTGTTCTAAATATACACTTTAAAAGAAGTAAAAGAATGTCTAATTATTTCAGGGCTATAATTTATACTGTTACGGATGGTGGTATTATAACTAAAGCACTGTGCAGTGTGTGAGTGAGTTTTGTCTTACGCTCATTTTAGCAGTATACCAGCAATATCATAGCGGGGGACACTAGAAATGGGTTTCACATGGTGTACCTATGTGGGGAATCAAACCCTGGTTTTCAGCGTGACGAGCGAATGATTAACCACCTGTCTACCCCACCGCCCCAAAATCACCGTGGAACGAACATTCCTTACACACATCTTGTGAACATATCTTGTGAAGGTTGCCAATGGGATATTAATTACATGGTCCTGAGTTTGTAAAATAGTTTTCAAGTTGGGGGTGCCCCTTACCTTGTTTTTTAAGTAGTAGATAGGTTGCTATAAAAAGATATGAATGATATTTTGACAGGAACAGACTTTTCAGTATTTCCATGACCCTATCCAATGACCATGTGACCTTTCACGCCCTACCCCTCAGTAACTCAACCCCACCCCACCATTTCACCACCCCCAACCATCACATCCCCACCCCATGTGAAACAATCTAACAATCTGACACAGATTCTCCTCCCTAAACCCAACCCTCACCTCTCCCCCTCTGACTCCAGCAGTCATAACACAGGGCAACAATCTGACACAGATTGCCCTCTGTGACAAGGGAAGATAACTCAACCTGACAAACCTGTTATTTAGAGGTTATCAGATCTAATTGGGGAAAACATCCAAAACGAAAACATTTTAAAAAACCAGGTAACCCATGCACACTGAAAGCAAACATTGATCACTGTGTGATTGAAACAAGATGCTTCATGATAGCTTGTGGTAAACAAGCTCAACACCCTTCTTCTCCCCACTAAAGCAGGAAACAGCTCCCTTGTCTTTTATCTAAAGGAAGACCAACCTGACTTCATTTCCCTTAGATCTATACCAGGCAATCTAGGCACTTTATCTTACTGAGTCATTTGGAAATACTTGCTATGACAAGATAAATGGTAAAAATTATCTACAGCCAGCAGTGAAAAGCTGTCTGAGAAAAGGCCAAAATAACCCTTAGTTTATTAGTGAACTCAAGGGTGACTGAGGAAAGGTTATAGTTGAGTGATGTGTTTGAGACAGGTAATAACTCACTTCAAAATGCAAAGGGGAGATAACTCTAAACCCTTTTTGAACCCTCAATGACTGGTACCCGTTCTGATCAAAGAAATTTTGGATATCCATGCATGGTGGTGTTATGTCAGTGTTATTGATATTTAAATCTGAGATCCGTTTAAAATGGATTTATTTGTGATAGAAAAATAGTAGTTGTTATTTGAACCAATCAAAGGGATCAGGTGCAGCTTCCTTGGCAATGCATCATTTCAATCTTGAACACAGAGTTCAGTCTGTACATGTCGTCATTTCTTTTAAACAATATAACAAAAAAGCATTCACATTAGAATAACTTTGTATCATTTGAGTGAGTTTGGTTTTACACCACCATAAGCAATATTCCAACAATATCACAGTGGGGAACTCCATGAGATGAGCCAAACACATTGTACCCATGTCGGGAATCGAACCTGGGTCTTCAGCATTACGAGCAAACTCTAGCCAGTACGCTACCCCACCGTCCTTTCTATTATTAAGAACACATCATATTTGAGTACATGCTCTCTTCATCAGACCCGTGA